TTTTTTTTTTTTTTTTATCTTGAGATAGAGTCTCACCAAGTCCCGAAAGTTGTCCAGAATGGTTTTGAACTTGCAGTCCTCCTGCCTCAGCCTCCTGGCTGGTCTGCTTTCCCTATCTGAAAAAGAGGACTGTGGCTAATGGGGAAGGAGTGACAGAAGCAACTAGGATTTAGGGCTTCTGAAGAGCTGTTTCTACCAAGGGAGCTGCCTTTATTTTTAATCTTCATCACTTTAAACAAAGAATATAAAATAATCTAAATAAAAAAATCTAAATAAAATCTAAAAATCCTGAATTTTACCCTGTTCTTTTGCTAACAAACGCAACTTAATAAATCTTTTTTGAATATTAGGTTACATCCATTTTCTCAAAAAAAAAAAAAAACTTGAATCACTTTAGGTCTGCTGCTTCTCTAGTTTCTCTTTAATTGTAGAAAACAGTGTGTCAAGATAATCGATGTTTCTTTGAATTACTCCACCTAATACTAATGAAAGTTTGGCTTGCTGGCAGCATCAGATCCCAATTTGAATTGTACACAGTGCACCTGTAGGGCCTTTTGCTCTGGAAGCCAGAGCCTGGATTGCAGGAGAAGCTGGGTCCTTCTGCAGAGACAGGCAAGCTCCGTCTGGCGGTGACGTCCAGAGAGGAAATGCAGGGGTGGTAGCAAGCCCTCTCCTTTTTCTTAAGTGTACCCGAAGGCAGCTGAGATGTTAACATCTCAGTGAGAGGCACAGGCCCATTTTTCCTTAACTAAGATTTTTCTGGTCCCTTTTCTTGTTTTATTTGTTTTTTTCCCCTGTGGCTTTCTTGTTGTAAGATAAGCTAAAGAAGGAGCAATGTGAGGGGTCCCTGGAAGTTGGGACACTCTCCTTTCCAGTTCCTCTACTGTTCTCTCTGAGCCCAGTGGTAGCCACCGGGGCTGGGTAAAAGTCCCCGCGGCCCAAGTGCAGCGTGCGTAGTCACAGACTGTCTGCAGGCAGTGCCTTGTGAGACTCCCTGGAAGGCCTCGCCTGGGCTGGGTGGGACTCAGTTTCCTCTTGTGGAATTCACCTTTGACTGCCTTGGATAGGCCAGAAATGGCCTGGTGACTGCTTGGGCAGCATCCTCCCCAGGACCACGACGGTGTTGGAAAGGACATTTCCAAAGTGAACTGCTGTGGAAGGCAAAGCAGGCTGCTCTTCCTTCCTAACAGATTGCTGTTTGTTTTCTTGTAGAAGAATTGAAAGAACATTTGCTAGGAGAGAATGCTATCGATAGAATCTTCACCCTGGGTAATTCTGAGTTTCCGGTCAGCTGGGAAAATGAGGTCAAACTTTGGTCGTTTCTTGAAGATCGAGCTTCTCTTCTTTTAAAAACATACAAAACAACAACTGAGGTAATTAGATTGATAAATGGAGATATGAACTCTTCTCAGGTTTTTAAAAAATTCCTTCCTAAATGCAAATTACTTTAATTTTTAGCAAAATAATTACATATTTGACATTATCATTCAAAATTAATATTTTTCTATTTAATATGCTTATATTTCCCCCACAAAATCATATTGAGGTATTGTAGATTAGATAGTAACACTTTAAAATTATCTAGTACTGTTGTATAATTTCTAATTCATGTGATTCCACAGTTTTCATTTCTGCTGTCAGCTCACTATCTGAGCCTCTAGCTCCAAAGACTCCTTTCTCCTTTCTCACTCTTTCTTCCTTTCCTTCCTTTCTTCCTCCTTTCCTCCTTTTCTTCCTCCCCTTGCTCCTGCCTGTCACCCAGGTACTACCCTGGTGCCACATCAAAATTGTCCATAGGGTGACTTCTAAAACTGTGAGAGTCTTTTCCTGTGCCACCCCACTGATGCAGGTCTTCCTTTTTTGTTTGACAGTGGTTTTGTTGAGGTATAACTTACCACAGACAAAACCCACAAGTCTGAAGTGCAGTTTGGATGGATGTGTCCAGTCACGTAAGCACCTGCACAGTCAAGTTCTAGAACCTTCTGTCACTACCTCACTTTCCCTCCTGCCCTGCAGCAGACCTGCCTGTCCCTGCAGTGTTGCTGGTACAGGCTTCTTTTCACTTATGCTGCTCCTCTGTTCTCCAGGAAGACAAGGCTGTGCTGAAGAACCCTGACCTTCCTGCCCGCATGAAGATGGCCGTCAAGCTGCGGCTGGGGGAGAAGGAGATTCTAGAGAAAGCCGTGCAGAGTGCGGCCACCAACCAGAAGTGCTTCCGCAAGCACATGGAGGAGCAGGTGCCGCTCCCCAAGTACGAGGAGAGTAACCTTGGGCTGCTGGAGGGCAGCACGGGCGACTCGCGGCTGCCCCTGGTCTTGCGAAACCTGGAGGAGGAGGCCCTGAGCCTCAAGGAGGCCAGCAACACCGCTGAACACGGCCTCCTCAATGGTGAAAACTCTCTCCCCAATGGGACCGGGTCGGAAAATGAGAATTTCAGTTCCAGAGAAAGCAAAAGAGTGATTGGAGGTGCCAAAGAATCTTCTGACAGCACTGACAAAGCCAGAGAGCAGCTCTGAGCTGGAGGGGCTGTTGGAGCCCAGCCCGGTAGACGCGGATGAACAGTCCATTTCCATGCTGTGTTCTTGTTAACATTTTTCTTTCTGCAGAGAGGAAAATAATGTTTTTGCTGCTTTATATACGAATGATTTTTTAAGTTATTTTAAAGATCTAGCTTCCCGTTTTGATTGAGATTGACATCTTGCTTCTAGGCAGGACACACGCACTAAGAGTGTGTGTGGAGGGGGAGCGGCCCCTGGAGGCCGTGCAGACAGCGTGTCCTTGCCCAGCCCTGCTTTGTGGGCCCGACACGCTGAGGCCCAGAAGTGGGACTGAGTTAGTGGTGGGGTGCATGTGGTGGGGAGCGGGATGCGGGATGCAGGATGCGGGGTGAGGTGAGACACCTAGAGCCCGGGCAGAACCTTTTGTTTTCCTCCTCAAGAAATAATCCCCTAGTACCGAAATAAAACGAAAGGTGGCAACCTTATTTTTTAATAGTTTTAAATGTTGATGATAATCCTAATTATATAAATATATATGCACATATATATCTAGTGATTTCTAAAGATTTGTTTACTTTTTGTGCTTTGTTTCACTGTATTAAGAACGTGCCCTTCCTCCCTGAATCAAAGTAGGACGCGCGTCCCTCCTGGTGCGTCTGCTGCGGATCGCACGCAGCCCCGCTGCAGCCCCCGCCTTCCCTGGTGGTGGCCAGAGTGAGGCGGCTCCCTGGCTTTTCTGGTTTTCACAGCAAGCTAGAGATTTTCCAAGCTATCCTTTTGAGTAAAAGCCCTTATTAAAAGGAAAACATGATTAATATTTTCGTCTGTTCCTTTCTTTGGAGCGGGACAGGCCTTTTGATGAGCATCTTTCGAGCCTTGACCTTGAGCTGTGGAGCGTGCTCGCCCGGGGCGCAGAGGCCCACAAAACCCTGGCCGAGTTCTTCTTCAGCCTGCCTGTTGTTCAGCGGGGCTGCAGGACCTCGGGTCTCTAGGGTAGGGGGTGGAGAGAGTGGCAGCTGTCCCCAGAAAGCCTCTGCTTTCCACACTAACGAATACTGGTTTTCCTCAACCGCAGGTTTTCGCGTCGCCTCTGAGTGCATAGTTTGCAAAGCCAAGTGAATTGCTTCCTCCTGGGTGTGATAAATGCTGCTGCAGAGCAAATGGTGTCTGGCTACTTCAGTGGAAGATGCAGCTCTGCAGCCTGGCCACCGCTCCTCTGCTGAGGGCTCTGCTTAGAGATGTGGCTGTTTTTCAGCCAGCAGGGCAGGTCCGCCTGCTGTACAGACTCAGGAGCAAGCTTCCTCTCATGATGTCGCCAGCCACTTCCTGTATGCTGTGTGCAGGGTCGAATCCACTTGGAGAGGTGTGGCGGCTCAGTGCCCCTTGCTGGAGATGTCCCACCAGCACACCTCATGTGTGTGAGCAGCAGGGCCCCGAGGAGGTTCCTAGCCCGGCATCAAGTGAACCAGCATCATGAGGCCCGGTGGCTTTCAAAGTGTTTCCCAGAGAAGGTTGGAGGTGCCGAGGAGGCCCCGCTCCTGCTCCCATGCCTCATATGGGGGCAGTATTGTCTATTCTCAGGGCCTCAGTGACTTCATTCCCTTGGGGGATGGAAGAATGGACCTAGGTTATCAAATGGCCCTATTTAAAAACTCAGAGACCATGGGCTGGGGATTTAGCTCAGTGGTTCCACCGTCTGCCTTGCAAGAGCAAGGATGGGTACAAAAAAAACCTCAGAGACCAGGCCAGCCTGGTGGTGCAGGCCTGTAATCCCAGCACCATGGCAGGCTGGAGCAGGAGGATGGCAATTTCCTGCCCAGCCTGGGTAGCTCAGTCTCAGAAAAGGGGTGGGTGTGTAGCTCCCTGGGAAGGGGCTGGGCTCAGTCCTCAGAAAAGGATGAGGAAGAGGAGAAGGAAGAAAAAGAACCTGAGAGATTGTTTACCCTCCACTCGCTAAGCCTGTGTGCATGTTACTGGACCACAGAATGCCTGGAAGTTAGGCTTCCGGTCGCTTCAGCATCTGGGAATTGAGGGAGTGGTTAAACTGGCATCGCGAGCCCACACTGCCGTGTGGTGAAGATAGGCCGTCTCCCAGATCATCCCCACGTGTACTTTCTCCCTGACGCTTCTGGCTGAGAGGCTGACGCAGTGGTTGCCGGGGGAGCAGCCCCTCTACCTATCCCAGTACACACAATTAGATTCCAGAAAAGCCACCCGCTCCTCCTCCCAGGCCAGTGGTTGGTAGGTGGTTTTCCTCCCAGGAGTTTCTTGAATAGACTCACTCAAAGATAAATTTGGTTTTCTTGTTGAGAGGTGGGGTAGGTAATACACTTAAAATTTTCCCAGGTTCCCAGTGTATAGGGTCATGCTAAAGTAAGCTGTCACTTAAAAACTAGAGAATCAATTTCCTGTAAGTCATCAGTTACGTTTCTTTGATGGTTCCTATGTACAAGGAAAGGACTGAGCTCACCTGGAGGAAAGGGGTTTTGGACTGGAAGGCAGTGAGCAGAGGGTGAGGGGAGGAAGCTGATGGGAAGTGCTCTGGAGGTGAGTTGCACTGCATTCCTGCTCTCCCTGACCCAGCAAAGTGAGTGTGTTTAATAGAGTGTAACTGGTAACCTGACCCAAGGATTCCACTCACTTTTATTTAAATGTCAATTTGAGATGGGCAGAGAGTAGAATCCAGTAACTTCATTAAGGGTCACCCCACTATTTTAATCAGTAGCACCTCAGATAATATATTCCTAAGTTCCGTGGGTAAATTGAATTTGAGTAACTTGAATTGTATTTAAATGCACCAGCAAATTTGTTATTTAAATGAATCTGCCCTGCTGGACTGGAGTGTGCCAGCCCTGGAGGAGGAAGCCTTAGCAGGAACCAGGGATGGGGCTGTCCCTGTCAGCTACCTGTTGTATGAAGGACTGGACAGCTGCTGCTTCCTCCTCCTCCTCTTCCTCCTCCGCAGGGGCCAGCAGGGCACAGGACCCACCTCTGTGTCGTCTGTGCTAACACCAGGAGCACAGGAGGCCCCAGGTAACCGTGGAGCCTCCAGCCGGTGCCTCTTCCTCAGGTCGCCTTCCCAAAGCTGAGCCACTCCCAGGAGGCAGAGCACGAGTGGGACGAGTGGCAAAGTCCTCAGGAGTGGGCACCATCCGCCAGCTGATGCAGGAACAGTGGCCCCGTTAGCCACACTTGTGCTCCTGGTTCAGTGCTGGATTTGTGGGTCACCTGGGGACGTGTGGGGCACCCTCTTGCCCGTGAGGTGCTGAGGCAGACATTTGCACAAACTTCCGGACCCCCAGTGCGCGGCTTTGGGCACTGTGGGGCTGGGCGTGGAGGCCAGGTGAGCGCAGGCTGGGTCCTGAGTGCAGGCTGCAGCTTGGGTGGACTGAATGGGTCCCTCAGGCAGGAGGAATGTGGTGGTGGCCACCTGGCGGGCCCTCAGAGGCAAGGCAGGACCCACAGAAACCAGTGGCCCCTCAGTGCGGCCATGGAGTTGGGGACACCAGTAGTCAAGGCAACTCACTGCTGGCTTAGCCTCTGAATATCCTTTCTCTTTTGGGCCGCTGTTCTTGGCCCAGACTCAGGCATGTGTGCATGCGTGCGTGTGTGTATGTGTATTTTGTATATATGAATACAAATATAAGTGTAGACATAACACTTGTGCATGTAAAACTATCACAACTCTTAGCCTTCTGCTTCCAGAAGCTTCCTCAGCATATGTAGGCCAAACTCCACAACACAAGTGTGCAAATGCTTGTGCAATTGTGTAATGCTTGCACAGCCTCACCTGGCTCCCATTGGGATTGCAGGGCCCGGAGCAGCCCTGGGCACAGAGCAAGGGCTCCACTAGGGAGCCCTTGCTGGGCTGGGCTGGGCTGCCACGGGCATCGTGGGGCAGCATCGCCATCGCTGCCACGGGCCCCGTGAAGATGGAAGTCCCTGCACCAGGTGGCCTGACCCCAGGGCAGTAATGATGCTGGCTCTCCAGAGGACATCGTGGTCTCCTTCCTATCCCTTCCTCGCATCCTCTCCTTCCCTTGTTTCCTGTTTCTCCCTGTTGGGTCCCAACTCTTCACCCTAGCAGACAAAGTCAGCTTTTGCCCTGGACCTCAAACTTCCTTTTCCTAACCATTCAGGACCACGAGTTCTGCCCCACACCCCGGGGGCACCTGAAGGGCACCAAGATGGCCGTTTCCCAGCAGCCCTGCTGGCTCTCACCCTCGCCCTCTCCTGTTGCCCCTGCAGGAATCACTGCTCCAGGAGCTGCCCAGCAATGCCCACTGCAGCAGAAGAGACCGCTGGGATGAGGATCGCCTGTGAGAAGACGGTAGCCAGGGACGACAGCTCATCCTTGCCTGCACAGTGGACTGCCATCTGAGGTCCCTGGCGAGGGGCCGTGCTGCACACACAGGTTTCCTCACAGGGTGCCCAGCAGCTTGTTCCCATAGTGGCTGAATGCGTGACAGCCACAGGCTGAAGAACCAAAATAGTGGCACAACTAAACATTTTCAAACCCACCACCAGCTGCTTCCCAGATCTGGCAGGTATCTGAGACGGGAAATATTCATGGATTTTACACAGATGTCTTGCAACTATTTCAGCATGAACAACCAACAGCCACCTCAGAAGTTGCTGGCTGTAAGTTCTCAGGTAAATCTCACAGCTGACTCCAAGCAAACACTCCTGGAAGGTCAATGCGAGCTGCACGATGACAGCGGGATAGCAGTTAGAACTGCGTGTACCTCCAGGGGCCTAAGTTTGGAAATAATACTCTAACTGGCACCAGAGAAGGTTGCCAGTGAATCCCAACATGCATCTAGAGAAACACTTCTATCTTATACATAACCCGAGGGAGAAAGTTTATTTTATTTTGGTTAATGGCAATTGTCAAAATTGCTAGCTTTGGGCTTATGTTACCTAGTGATTTAGAGGCTCACATGATTCACACTGTGGTATGGTTTCCGTTATGAAGTTCAGCCTCGGGCCGGGGAGGTAGCTCAGCGGTAGAGCACTTGCCTGACGTGAGAGGCCCTGGGCTCCATCCCTAGTCACAGGGGAAAAGACTGCTGTCATGGCTGGCTTCCGCCCCTTTTCACGGTTCTCTTCCTCAGAAGCAGGCACCGGAGTCAAAGCCCTGGCATCACTGGAACCTCACATTGATCCTCTATGACGTTACTTTTGCAGGCTGGAGCTTGTGTGGGCATGGTGTGGGGCACAGCCCCATCCTGGGCCTTTGCAGGCCACAGTGACTCATGGGCCGCTGTGTTAGCAAAGCTGCTGGCTTGGAACAGCTGTTCACGTGAAGCTCTGGCCGCTTGGCTTGGCTTCAGCGGGCTGAGCACTCTTGAGTGTCCAAAGCCAAGCGACATTCTGCCTTCTGCAGTGACCCGAGAGGCTGGCTTCCCCTGACACTCAAGGCCTGTGACCTGAAGTTGGTGGCAGGGGCATGGGTAACAGGGTGTCGTATGGGAACGTGCTTCCAGCCACACTGATGATGCCGAGTTCGTCTCAGGAGACCATGTGGGCATGCAGCCGCCGTGGGTACCTGCCCACTCCCTGATACCGTCCCTGATTCGTAAGGGCAGGTCCAGTCCCCAAGCCTGCCAGTGTGGAGGGGAAACTCTGGTGTGCACACGGCCTCATCTGGGGTTCATCTTGCTGTACTGGGTCACTGTGTCTGCTGATGTTGCTGGAGAGTCCGGTGCCAGCCAGGCGCTGCTGGGCCATGGGCTGAAACCAGAGAGTAATGTGGGGTGCTTAGCAAGGAGCTGATGGATGGGAGCCCCACCCCACACCCGGAGGCAAGAGAGGCCTG